AAATTAACTCAATATATATGTTTGCTAAGAAATTATCATAAATTATTAAGGCTTTAAACTTACTGGCAAAGTTAAACAGATGATTATCTATATAATGGCATTCAACGCAAAATAGAGCACCGTAGAATAAAAGTATAATACTTCATCTGATGAATCAAAGGAAAGTAAACAAATAAGTCTCAATACAGATACAACTATTGAGCTTAGTGCCATCCCTTAAAAATATGCACCCATATATTAAGGTTCTAACTAGCATGCAATTCCAGTTAATGTAGAATTAATATTACCCATGAAAGCTCCTATATGATAATGGTTACTAAATATGCATAAACTAGAATTGAATTATCCAGTACTTACCTAATAAAAACATTAGAAAAATAGATATTTTCCAGCTCACTTAAATCTCGATATAATAAATAACAAAGGGCAGGACAATTTGTACAATTATAAGGGGAATAAACATTGCATTTAGCCTTGGCAGATGGTCAAGTTTAATTAGAAGTTTTGTAGCAATTGTCTGACCTCCAACAAATGAGAAGTTTATAACCATATTGTATAAAAATTCTGGATGCTCCCCAATTACCTAAAGAATAATCAAAAAAAGAGAGTACATTATATTTGTAAATGAAATAGTCCATGTTAGAGAGCACAGCCATTAGTGGTATTAGATTACCTAAACCATAAAAGTTCATTAATATTAATATCTTCTTAGAGTCTTTAGTATATTCCTTCTAACTATTTATACCTGTATTTTATGTTGAAGATGTTTTATGATAAAGTCTTTATGAAAAATGATTTATGGGTATCTTGAACAAAAATTGAAGTATCTCCAAGTTCCAATGGCTCTCCTAGCTTTTCTGAAGTAACTTTTGGTGTACTAATTTGTTGATCTAACTAATTTACCATATTATTATGATTTTATAACTTAATCCTTGGATATTATTCATAATAAATTAAGAAAAATAATTAACAAAAAAACTGATCTCATGAATATATTGTCCACTTGGGGTTTTGGGGTTTTGGGG